ACACATATTGTAGGAATGACCAATTAGTGTACTACTTTGTGATTCTTTTCATTGCTTCGTTTGACCACAAAAGTGAGACCCACCACAAATTCATCACCTTTTGGGCTTTAAGCCATTCCAATAATTCAACGACTAATCTCATAATTAGTCCTTTCTATTAAAGTAAGTTGATCATCTCGATCAAACTTACGATGAGTACTTTATTTACTCACAAATGATTGATTCCCTTAAGATTTTCATGTTCGACATGAAGCATTCTCTTTCACCATTATTGTTGGTACCACAGAGAGACTTTTAGGAAAGAAATATATAAGGAGTTAATTACCACCATAATGAAACACTTACAAATATTCTTTTCAAAGGTATTTGATCTCTTACCCAGATTGACCTTTGGTGCCCAACATTAGTTCTTTTGTAGACTGAATTTTGCAAATTTTCTTTGTGGAGAATTATAGTAGCTCCGCACTTTACCTGACACATACTCAATAGTTGTGTATATTTCAACAAACTTGGTTATCTTAACTCATCATAATTACCCTTTAAACAGGGATTATAGGTCATTCATGTTGACTCAACCAAAAATTTAAATAATATATACCAATGCTCATTGTTAGTAAGCTATAGAGATAATGTTGTTTGCATGCTACTTCAAGTTGAACAACATAATCACAAATATCACATCATATTCTTAAAAGAAATTAATCTCATGCGCAAAGGCTGTTTAAACTAACATTTATTAGGGAATAGATCTCTACAATGTGAGTTCAGTAAGTATAACTTTAATACTCAAAGTTATTCCACTTGCACAATTTTTCCTTCACTTAAAGGAAATTAAAACTCATATAAAGCTTTCATATGATGCAGATCAATATTACTATTGCAGTACTTCAACAATTTCTATTGCAAGACTTTGATTGTTTAACAACATATAAAAGTCAATCTGATTTCAGGTGAAGATCAAGTGACGCTCTAACTAGCCTACATGATCAACAACCTACTTCTTAAGAACTCCCAGGTCGAGTGGTGAAACTGAAGTTTACTTAAAAATCATCTTCCTAGATAGAGTACTCAAGAATGATGACTTTTCCATGTTATCATCAAATTGCAATTGAAGCCTTTGATATATGGTCTTATTTTTTATACAAATAATTTCAGTAAAAAATTTGAGCAATATCTATGCCAAATTCATTTCAATCAATGTCATTAGTATTCAACATACAAAAGAAATAAGTACTACTAAGTAATCAAAAACTAGACAACTCAACTAGTATTCAGTACTAAGACAATCATACTTCATGCAAGCCCTTAGAACTAGAACAAATTAATTAGAGTTACTCAAAATAGCTACTTATTTAAATAAATGCAATACTCATCTGGCTCTGTCAGATTGACTTCTACTATTTATGCCCTTGCAATGGTAGCACTGGTATGCTCGGTGTCCTTGCTTTCCGCACATGAAACATCTCCCTTTGAGTATCTTGACTCTTCCACTCCTTTTGTTATAGACATTTCAAACACTTTGATTTTCAGTATCATTGGCACCGTACTTTTCTAACAGTGATTCCCAAATGACTTTTGCCGAGTCTTGTTTGCCACTTTGCCGATTCCCAAGTGACAAAAGGTATCGTCTGGTTGCCACATTGTCATTTTTAAACTGCGTCAGAGTTACACTCGGTTCTTGACCAGGAGTATAGTCTATTTCAAGGCTGCTTTCTCTCGATTCTTCACTAGGATTGTAATCAGGTTCATGGCTAGCTTTTCTAGCACCAAGTAGAGGGAACACTAATGGAGTAGGTTCTGGTGCAACTAAATTTCAGCACATAAACCAATTTTAGCTGTTCAAAAATGATACGCATATTTTGAGCGCACCTCTTGTAGTATTTTCCATCAAAAGCAGTGATCTTGGACAGATCGGGTATAACAGAAGGTGCCATAACAATGAAAGGTTGACTATTGCTAAAATAACACTTTTAACTGTTGAAAAAAATATCAGCAACGTCAACGCACGGCTAGAAAGCTTTTAAGGAACCAGGACAACACGAGTGTAAGACTGAAAGGGAGTCTGTGCCGTGTTATAATAACACTACCTTAAAAGCGTTATTTGCCCGGTAACGGTGCAGTTAAAACCCTGACACGCTTTCGACAGGCTACACAGACTAACTACGCTTAGTTCACACCAACTATAGCGTAGGTAAACTCGACTTTGCTAAGATGATTACACAGAGGGAATAAAGAAAGAAGGATAAGAAGATGATTATTGAGTGTGTTTTGATAAAGGTGGTAGGAGCTGTTTATATAACTGACATAAGAGAGATAAAGATGCTGGCCACAATAAAATAAGAGGCTATGAAAAAGTTAGCCATAAAGAAATAAGAGGTTGTGGTATTTTCTCTTTAATTTTTCAACAAACTCTCTCTCTCAGAATTTTCCAACAATGCTTTTCCAGCGCTCATATTCAACAATCTAAAGAAAAAAGCTCTAATTCCTACCTAAAAACTAAAAAACAAATTTTCATACACATTCATAAATTCATTTAAGCATTTTCTTATTATATTGAAGTTGATGGTGGTTGACCTAGTGTCTGAGAAAGCTCAACCGGCGGCGAGAACTGTCACTGGAATTTTTGTTCTTTCCAGAAATCATTCTAGATTCATCTTCGCCTGCGATGGTCATCTTAGATGATCAATATGGGCAAGAAAAAAATCAAAATAATGGTAGGAGGCTTCTGGCAACTTTGCGTTCGTTTGCATGTGTTGGGGCATGGAGACCAAAATTCAACAAAAAATCAAAATAACAACCAGTAACGAAATCAAGCAACGACGAATAATCCATATTCAATTGCTAGAGATCAATTTCAAAATGGCACAGAACAAAATCTAGAGGCTAGAACATAGATTGAACAGAATATACAGTGAATAAATCAATCACTGATGAACAAACGAATGCAGGTTTGCATTAGGGGAAGCTGATTGTAACAATTGAGGAGGTGGAGTGGAGAAAATTCGCTAAGATTGAAGAAAAACATACCTTGGTTGGCAATTCCTTGAAGGGGAAACCAACAGTGGATACGGTTAGGGCAAAATTCCATGTGTTCTTCCCTCTCTCTGGTTCAGCGCACATCGGAACACTGGATGCGAGGCATATACTGATTAGATTCACATCAGAGAATAATTGTGACCAGGTGTTAGTAGGTACGGTGGTCGCCAGAATGGATCAGAATGCGAGAAAGGACCTGTCGTTTGCTGCGATTTAACTCCTTCTCCCAAAATTGTCATATCACTTGGCTCTGGATTTGGCGATGATTTGAAGAATGAGATTGAGCGTGGCTAAAGTCAAGATCAAGATGAATTTGTTGAAGCCTAGATATGATAATTTATGGATTGAAATTGCAAATGGAGAAGGAGATGCGAGGGTTTTTGGCAGAGGATTGAATACAAGCATGTTCCTGCCTTATGTTGTAGGTGTTGTACATTTGGGCCATAGAATAAAAGTGTCCAATCCCTAATAAGTCTAGGACCATAAAAGACATTAACTCTAAACTTTAATTTCTCTATTGTTGCAATTCAAAGAGTTAATAGACCACCGTACCACGCCGAGTTGTTTGATTTGTGACCTTCCCTCAAGTAGAGCCACAGATGTGTCATCGGAGCACAATGTGAATATAACTAAAAGTTATTTTTACAAATTAATTTTAAAATTGTTCAAGTTTACCGTTGAGAGTTATTGGTTTTACACTTTTACCCAAAAAAAAAAAACATACAAAAGGAAAAACATTTATTTCAAAAGACTCTAATTCTGATTTTCGAACTAAACTTAGAAATAATAAAACTTAATACAAGTGTCAATCTTATTAGCTATAGAATTATAGTCACCAAGACAATAAAATGAAATAGAATTAAAGTAAACTGAGAGTAATATTAATTCTCTGAATAATGCCTTAAGAAAATTTCTATTCCACGCATGGGATTTTTAATTAATTATTCATGCATTCACTGAAGATTGCATTCCATTAATTACTTAAATATTTTCTTTTTTCTTGAAGAAAGGAGAATCTTTCTCTCTATATTCTATGAATTACTTACTATATTGCATGAAAAGATACATTGTATATGAATTTTAGAGAGATTATTGGAGAGTATGTACTCAGATTACAGTTCAAATAAGTTTTTAAATTTCTCTTATTTCTTTCTATTTAATTAAAATATTTCTTTAATTAAATATTTCGTTAATGTACATGTCATTCAAAATTCTAACCCAAATATTGTAATTGTTTACGTTAATATTATTTCCTAGAATGCTGATTTTAGGGTTGGCAAGGATGATTTTGAATTATTTAAGCAAGACTTCGACAGCAACTTCATACACAACAACCTTTGTTCTCAGTAAATTTGCAGCTCATTTTCTCGTCTTGGTGTCCTAACATCAAAACCTCAAACTCCTCTTCTGCTCTTATATGTTCAATCTAGCTTAGCTATGTTATGAACACCATATTTCACATAAGAAGGAGGAAGAAGATATATTGAATAATGTTTGATTACATTGGAAAGGAAGGGAGAAACCTAATTATAGATCATCAGCACTAACGGTTATAACTAACCAAGCAAAGGAAAAGACAAAACTACCCTTTGTTACTGAGGCTTATTTATGCTGCTGACTGCTGCCTGTTTGGAGAGCTTCTTCAATCACTTCTTCATCAGCTCATGCTTCACTTCTTCATCACCCCCCCCCCGCCCCCCCCCCCCCGATAAGCTGGAGCATGAACATCTTGAAGGCCCAGCTTAGCATGAAAGTCATCAAACAAGGGTTTGGATAGGGCCTTAGTAAAACCATCAGCAATCTGCTTGGTGGATGGAATTGCTAACAGCTTGATGACCTTGTCTTGTACCTTCTGTCTAACCACATGGCAATCAATATCTATGTGCTTAGTACGTTCATGAAAGACATGATTTTCCCCTATAGCCACAGCAGATCTATTGTCACAGAATAATGCAATGGGGCTATCAAAGATTGACCTGTAAATCTGCTAAGAGATATAAGAGCCACTGGATTTCACATGTGGTGGATGCCAAGGCTCTATATTCAGCCTCGGATGAAGATCTTGACACTGTTGCCTGCTTCTTGGTTTTCCATGAGATCAATGACTGTCCAAGATAGACACAATAACCAGTGATGGATTTCCTTGTTTCAACACAAGAAGCCCAGTCTGAATCAGAGAAACACTGAAGTTTGGTAGAACTTTTAGATGGATAAAACAATCCTTTGCCAGGTGAACCCTTGAGGTACCTTAGAACTCTGTGAGCTGCAATCAAGTGGGAGTTTCTTGGCTTATCAACATGTTGACTTAGGTGCTGAACAGCAAAGGAGATATCTGGTCTTGTATTTGTCAAATATAGAAGCCTCCCAACCAGTCTTCTAATGGTTTCTGGTTTATCCAGTAAATCTCCATCTAAAGAGCTCAACCTCTGACCTGTATTAAAAGGGGTATGTACAGGTTTTGCATCCAAAAAACCATACTCTTTCAAGATCTCCAGGGTGTACTTCCTCTGACATAAGTTGAGTCCTTCTGAGGTTCTAAGGGCTTCAATTCCCAAAAAGAAATTAAGCTAGCCAAGGTCTTTTATCTTGAAAGAATTGTCTAGAAATTGCTTTAAGTTGTCAATGTGCACAGAATTGGTTCCTGCTATCAGAATATCATCCACATAGACTAGGATAGCAGTAAAACAAGAATCTAGAGTCATAGTGAAAAGGGAGGGATCTGCTACTGATTGTTTGAAGCCATAATCTTGCAGAGCCTTTGTCAGCTTGGCATTCCACTGCCTGCTAGCCTGTTTAAAGCCATACAATGACCTTAATAGTTTGCAAACCTGCCCAGTTTTATCACTTTAGAAACCTGGACGCAGAACCATATAGACTTCTTCATCCAGGTCACCATGCAAAAAAGAATTGTTGATATCCAACTGTTGAATGTTCCAATCTTTTGCAATGGCCACAGCCAAGAAGGCTCTAATTGTGGTCATTCTAGCTACAGGGGAAAAGGTTTCCACATAGTCTACACCTGACTGTTGTGTATACCCTTTTGCCACCAACCTGGCTTTATACCTCTCTATGGAGCCATCTGCTTTGTGCTTAACCTTATAAACCCATCTGCATCCAATAGGGGATTTCCCTATTGGCAAATCAGTCAGAGTCCAAGTCTTATTTTCCACCAATGCATTAATCTCAGCTTGCATTGCTTTCCTCCACTCTTCATGCTGAATTGCCTCAGTGTAAGATTGGGGTTCATGTGTAGAGGTGATGGATAACACACAAGCTCTGTGACTAGGACTTAGACCATCATAAGAGACAAAGTTGTCTATTGAGTGAGGAGAGGTTCTCAGTACTAGCTTGGATTTTGTTATGGATTGACAATAATAGTCCTGCCGTTTGGGAGGGATATTTCTAGCTCTTGAAAATCTAGAACCTACTTTTGTGTCTCAATGGGTCATCTCATGCAAGAAATATTTGTTGAGATTTTGAGCCGAGCAACGTTAGAAACGCTAGATACGTTCAAAGTGGTCAGCAAGGAGTCTAACGACTTAGCTGGTGAATCGTGGTTCATTGAAAAATACGCTCGAAAAACAAAAAATATCATACGATATATTGTTAAAACACTCGAGCGCTTCACTTGTTCTTACAACTTTGTATCCATCAATCCATCGTTGGAGGTTCCAGATTTTTCTATGGAGTGTTTCCGAGATGGCATGAAGATCTTGGCATCTTCTAATCAAGGAATTTTGTGGTGCCGAGAGTATGAAGATAGATCCTATCATTATTATGTTTATAAGCCGAGCACTAGGCAAAGTGTTGAGTTGCCGAGCCCCAGGGGACGAGATACGTTCTTAGAACACATTGCTTTGCAAATTCTTAAATCCAATCCCTTTGAGTATAAAATAATTAGATTCACACATGCTCGTTACTCGTGAGTTTATTTAATTTATTCTTCAAAATATTATTACACTACATATATGTTTCCTGAGATAAAATTCTAATAAAGTTAAACTAATGATTTGATAATTTTATCATTTTTAGGCCACCAGGAAACACAAGTTTCATATGCCAGATTTTCGATTCAAAGTTTTGGACATGGAGACAATTGGAAGACCTCATAATGGAACACGACACTATTTTCTCCAATCAACCTACCGTTTGTATAGGCGGCATAGTGTATTTGCTAACAAATCGCAAGACAATTTTGGCTCTCGACTTGGCAACCGAAACTCACAGAGAGTTCCCAGGTCCAATAGCGGTCGTTGAAGACGAAGATGACAAAAACTACACCAAAGAATGAATCGTTGAGTACAAGGGAAAGCTAGGGTTTACCTGTGAGTACAAAGGGGATGAAGTGTGGCTTTGGGGGGTAGAAGACAACATAAATTACTGGTGGGAGATAAAGGGAGTAGTGGGAATCGATAAAGAGAATAATAGGCTAATAGGGTGTAGTCTTGGGGACATGGCGTTGATGGTTGGGTACACTTATCAAGTGAGCGGTTCCCATTACTATAAGGATATTTTTCCGTTCAGGTCGGATTGGGAGCCGGTGGATCTGGAGGATGGCTGCATTCTCAGTGGCTTGGAACTTGGAAGAGATGATTAATGCTAGCTAATTAGCTTCTCAAACTGATGATGATCGATTAATATATATGTTTTAATTTTCTGCAATTTCATTTCATTTTTATGTATTGTTAGTTGTATATATATGCCTTTGCTTCAACATGCATGTAACTCATTTACTTACAGCATTATATTATATTGAAAGAAGTTTCAGATGAGAAAACAGTACAGTTTTCCATTGCAAAAAATATAATGTAAGGCGCGCGCGCGAGTTCTTTTCAAAAGTTAAAACCAAATTACTCAATGGACCAAAAATCATCTTTTCTATGCACGTTATATAGTATTCAATACGGGATAACTACCTAATGATAATTAGAGAGAATATATGCGCTATATACCCCTAATTTATTTTCTCTACATTTTTTCTATTTTAATTTGGCATATTTGAATGGTTTAACTTTCTTTTTTTAATTAGTATATTTATGGTCACTCAATGATTGAGAACCATAGAGGAGAAATTTAGGAGGGTAAGAAATATTTTCTTTAGAGATAATTTAACATTATCACATCTAGTCTTCAATAATTCATTATAAGAAGTGTTACACAAAAAGATACATTGTATGAATTTTAGAGGGATTATCGGAGAGTATGTACTCAGACTACAGTTCAAGTAAGTTTTTAAATTTCTTTTATTTCTTTCTATTTAATTAAAATATTTCTTTAATATACATGTCATTCAAAATTCTAACCCAAACATTGGAATTGTTTACGTTAATATTATTTCCCACAATGCTGATTTTAGTAATTTTACAGCTAAGCAAGCTATAAAAAAAAAATGGACACAGTAGTGGACCTACCTACATACACTATAAGTGATTCCGATAGGAGTTGGAAGCTCTACGGTGTATACAAGATACACGATAGTAAACAATAGCATACTGTTGGATTCTGCTACATGAGTGATGAGAAATGGGAGGAACGAGAGGTGCAGAGAAGAAGCAGATTGAAGAAGAAGAAGACTGTATTATTCAAGTTGACTGCTACAGCTTTACACTGGTTTATATATATAGAAGATGAATGTAAGGGAAAAGACAATAATCTCCCTATGCTAAGCTTTTCTACTTCTTTATTTTCATCCTCTAACACCCCCCGGTAAGCTGGAGCATGCAAATTTTGTATGCCCAGCTTAGATAGGAAGGAGTTAATAGAGGAGTTTAACAACTACAGCTTGTTTGTCATCAGACCACACTCAGACACCCAACTCTTCTGGCCATACAGTCCCATATTTTTGGCATATGACTGGGCACATCCAACTTGATGACCATCCTCAATGAATATCTGGATAGCTTTGGCATCCTTCTCTCTGTTTCCACTGGCAAATCCTTGATATGCCATATCAAATAAGGCAAAATGTCCCTTGACCTTGAGCTGATGAGAGATCTCCTTCCATTGTTCCTCCAATCCTTCCATTGTACTGGAACCACCAATGATAGGTTGTTTTGCTGGGCAGCCCTGAGGATGAACAGCTTGGTTGGGACTGGCAGAAGGGATGAAGCAGATGCTGACCTTCTGTGCAGATTTTGTAAGGGTGGATCTGCAGATCTGTGCAGAAATGAAGCCCTCTCTTTGTCTGTTTTGCAGGTTCTGAAGACCATCCGGATTCCAGAGGCTACTATACACTCCCGTACAATCTTGAATGACAACAACACCTCTTGATAATTTTGCAATTCTTTCGTTTAGCTTTTGTGGATTGAGGGACACAACCGCTGTGGCTGAGTCGGAAACAGCTTTAGGGGAAACAATAATCGGAGCATTACACCTCTCCGAAGATTTCCCTTCGGAAGAAACTAACGACACGAGCTCAGTGACGATATTTTCCTCTCTGAACCCTTGTTGTTGCAAACTCTCCTTCACTTGCTTCAGCAAAACACATTCTCTGTGAGAGGCCTTAATAACAGATTCAGGGCCATAAACAGCAGAATATGGTTCTTGTGCCTCTTCAATCACATCTGCCATTCCCATCCCATAAGCACTCAAGATCCCACAGAACCTGTGAATTAGAACTTCTTTCATACCCAATGATCTAGCAATGGCACAGGCATGTTGAGGTCTTGCACCTCCAAAGCAAGCAAGAACATGGTTGCTTGTCTCATGGCCCTTCATCTCAGTCAATTGCCTTATTGGACGGCACATGGTTTCATTGGCCACATTCACAAATCCCTGTGCAGTCTCCTCTACAGTCATATCCTTTGCTAAAAGATCCTGAGTCTTTCTATAGGAGTTGATATCCTTTGCAAGTTTCTCAAACTCTTGTCTAGTAGCATCAACATCAAGTGGCTGGTCTTCATTAGAGGACGCGAATGAAAGGCTCTTGAACCTCGCAGCACGACGAGCACAGTCGTCGTTCCTCTCACCCGTGCAGGTATATGGAGCGAACTTCGGAGCTCCGATTGCTGCCGCAATTGCCGCTCTCTTCGATCGGCAGGGAGTGTGTGGATTTTCCAGATCTTCTGGATTGTGATTTCTCTGCGTGAACAGGTTCCGATGCGGAATGGCTATAGCTGTCACCTGAACTGGATATCGACTCGGAATCAACGGACAAACTCCTTCCTTCCGCTACGGAACGGCTGTGGAGATCGCCTGACCTGGAGATCGACTCGGAATCAACGGAGCTTTTTCCTTCCGCTGCGGAAGGGCTATGGAGATCGACGATGAACAGACTCGGATCGCCTTCCGCTGCGGATCGGCTACGGAAGTCTGCTCCGAAATCAGATTCCTCTGCGGAATCGTTGATGATGCTGATCTGACTAGTGATCGAGCGTCGGCTTTGTTTCTACTCTGCGTAGAAATAATCCTCTCCATCACCTGGGATTGGAGGAGAGATATCAGTTTATTCAATTGCTGATCTGAGTTGAGGCTCCTGTGAGCAAGGTTGATCGAGTTCCTCTGCGAAATTGGCTCTGGAAAAACACTAAAAAAAAACGCATGATCGGAGATTTTCTGGCTGGAGATTGTAGCCTGCGTCTTCTTATTCACGCCGGCGACAGTCGAGACGGCGGCGGCGTAGGATCGCCGCTCTGATACCATGTTGGATTCTGCTACATGAGTGATGAGAAATGGGAGGAACGAGAGGTGCAGAGAAGAAGCAGATTGAAGAAGAAGAAGACTATATTATTCAAGTTGACTGCTACAGCTTTACACTGGTTTATATATATAGAAGATGAATGTAAGGGAAAAGACAATAATCTCCCTAGCTTTTCTACTTCTTTATTTTCATCCTCTAACACATACAAATGGCGCAAATTATGTCATGGAATCGTGTTCACCGAGAATGGTGAACACAAGGCAAAACGACGTCGTTTTTAGGCCAAAAAAAAAAAAAAAATTCGCGGATGTGGAGTTAACGGCGCGCGTTTGATCAAATTATGAATTTTCTGTTATGAGATTATGAACTTTATGAAAATTCATAATCTCATAACAGAAAATTCATAATCGCATAACAGAAAATTCATAATCTCATAACAGAAAATTCATAATCTTATAACAGAAAATTCATAATCTCATGGTTCCAAAGTGAATGTGTAGGCATGGTTCCAAAGTGAATGTGCAGGCATGGATTCATAATTTATGAATGTCCGTG